GGTAGTTTTTTATGGTGCGGTTTATATCATTGGAGTTGCTATGAGTGAGCTGAGCGTTTATCCATAAAGTCTGGTATTCTGCTGCAGAGGAGAGTGAAAAAAGACCACGCTTAACCTAGCTGCCTTTGGACCGCTGTACGTGCTGACCCCTGCAAGTGGTCACTCCGTGCCCTGAAGCAAAAGTTTATTACCTTTATTATCTTAGCTGGAATAGCTGCAGAAATTGTCAGTGGGCATGTTATTCCCCATCAATTTCAAAAAAGAATATCCACCCATGGTATTTGACCTCACGTTTGCTGCGATAAAGGCCAGAGGAGGAGCGCGTGCCCTCCGCCGCCGGGGAGGTGCAGAGGCGCTGGAACGCTCTCCGAGGAACAGATCTTGCACAGATCCTGGTCCGCCGCTCCAACCCAGTCTTTGCTGACCCGTGTGAAACAGCGTAGTTATTTCCCTCGTGTTCCCCCTTCTGCAACGGCCATTTTGTGTGGAGGACTTAGCCTGCGAGCAGCTGGAGGACAGGGCTGGACCCTGCTGCACTTTGCCCGTGATTTGTGCGAGGACAGAGGCGCCAGCTCTCACCTCTTTGTTGGTGGTGCTCCAGGACAGGCTTTTAAAAGCCTGCCCCAGTTCTTTCCTTAAAGCCGTTGTCGTGCTCTTGCCTTTCTGCCCCAGGAAACGTCGGGCTGCCCTGCCCAGGCCTCAGTGGCAGGGCTATCCCTCTCGCGGCAGCCCCTCTCGTGCCCACCCTTCTCGTTACGGCCTCGTCTCTGCGCTCGCCTTGCGGAAGTTGTGCCTTTTGCAGGGAACTGCTGGCCCGGCTCGCCGGCGCTGGGTCTGGGAGCTGCGGCAAGTGCGACACATCCGGACGCAGTCCAGTCACGGGGCTTGGCTCTACGCCTGCGCTAATTAAGCCTTGACAAGAGTCAGGACTTCTTAGCTTGGCTCAGGCACTGGGCAATGCATCTAGACTGCATCCAGGAATAAACAGGCAAGTCCACAGAGCACTGTGGCTCAAGTCTCCTCCAGCTCTAGAGTCCTTGCGCTCGACCCCGTTTTGCAGGGTCGATGTGCCCCTAGAGTTTAAGGTTGAAGTGGACTCTTAGGACCGTTTAGTCTCACCTGCTGCGTACAAGCGATACAAGCCCTTAGCTTCTGGCGGAGCTAAAACCGCCTTTTAGAAAGATACCCTGTCTTTTTCTACAGACTCTGCAGGTGATTGGATTCAGTCACCCTCCTACTCGTAGGCTGTTCTAGTGGTTAATCACCATCATTGTTGAAAAAACATTCTGCCTTACTTCTAGTTTGAGTTTGTCTAGCTCCAGCCCCTGGAGCATGTTAGATCTTTGTCTTCTAGATAGCGAGTTCTGCACTTTCTTTTGTAGGGAATTAATGACTGTGGTCAAGTCAACCCTTAAACCTCTCACTGATAACCTCAGTAGATTGGATTTTTCTTGCTCTGTAAGGCAGGTTTTCAAACTTACTTGAGGCTTTCTACTTATCTTCCTAATCCTCACCAGTTTTATCAGCTTTCATCCTGCCCGGGTATCCTACCTGCACTGCCCAAGTACAGATGCAGGCTCAGAGGAGTTTATCTGCGTGGAGATCTTTTCAGCAACAGGAGCAAGCCCAAGAGCTTCTTGACCAATTCGTTTGAAACTCATCAGTGCGGTTGCACAATCTGTCTGCTACAGTATTTCACTTTAGCTGCCGCTATTTCACCCCCTCCTGCCATATCTCTTGCTGGCAGAGGCAGCTTTTCCCTGTCACTCGTGTAGCCTAAGTAAGACATTCAGCTTCTTTTTGCATGCAAAATGGAAATATTTCTTAAGTATTACCTACATCAGTTTTCTCTCCCTGTACCTGCAGAAGACCTCTTCACGTGCCGCTGTTAGGATCTCTTTTCTTAGGACACTTTTATTTTCCCTAACCCTATCAAGCAGAGCTTTTTTATGGACTTTCCTTCTTTCTTTCTCAGGTTGAATTTCAGGATTTTTAAAGATTTATAAATCTTTATAAAGATATATAAAGATTGCTATCGGGTACTTCCTGCCAGCTCCCAGGGAGACAACAAAGCCAGAGCTTCCCGAGCTGCTGTCGGGTGCTCGAAGGCAGAGGAGGTGCCGCACTCCGTTATGGGGAGCCACAGGCAGTTGAGAGTCCCGGGGCTGAGGGACGAGGACACAGACTCAGTCCCAGGCTGAAGTTTTGAGATGGCATTCATAAAGAAAGGAGATGATACATTTTTATTCGTAAACTGGAGTATGTTTGCTGTGGAAATCACTGAAAGGCAGAGCCACTCGTACAGCAGTGTTTGGAAAAAGCGTTGCTTGAAAAGTGCAGTCAAGCTGCAGGTCTCTGAATGTTTTTTTCCTCTAATTTTCATTCTGCAGAGTTTTTGCTTCTGCTGCTGTTATTTTCCTCTGCTACCTTAAAAGTAACTTAGGTTGTAATTCTTTGGCATCTTGCCCATTTCGTGCCCTACTTATATCAAACATAAAATGCCGCATCTTTGGTCTTGTTGACGCCCAGCAACTGCTGAGACACAGGTCTGTGCAGAATTTTAAAGAGCACGCTTACAGGTAAGTTATGAGGCGTAGCCTTCCCATCATTTACAAGACAATGCAATTTTGTTTTATGTAGCTTCTTGCAAAATATCACAAAACACTTTGCAGTATACAGCAATCAGTATGGCAAGAATAACTCTTTTTAAGAGCTGTAATAGAGGCCATGTTTAAATAATGCAGATAAATCAGGAGGACCTCAGTAGACTGCGATGTGATTCTATCTCTTTCCGTTTGAACCAGGCGCCTGCCACGAATTGCCTTTTCAGTATACTTGAGTTCCTCTGTGGTTAACGGCGGGGTGAGAGCGCTGATCTGGAGAGATACGTGCTCTGCTCTGGAGCACTGTATCAGTTTGTTTTGCCAGAGTAGGTTGCCACGTTCTGTCCAAGCCATGGTCCTTCTCTGGAGCATTTCGTGTCCCGTGGTCGCAGCCTGACTGCAGCTTGGCCAGGGCAGCTGGTGAGCAGCCCCGTCCCCCGTACTCGGTGTAAGACAGTGCGTAGCATTGTGCCCAGAGGGCTCGCACAGCTGAGCGAGCTCTGATTCTTTTCTCATTTCCAGTGTGGCCCGGGGTTTGGGTTTAATTCAGGGGCAGAGTTACCAGTCAGGGCAAGGGAATAACCGTGCTACAGTCCCCCATTAGCACATGTTCTGGTCTCGTGAGGAACAGCTCTACCCATGGGCAGCGCCTGCTCTCCCGATCATCACTGGAGCCCATCTGAGCCAAGGTGGGAGATAGACCTGAGTAACGCCTTTCTTACAGGTCTCCACATCCCTCAGCACAGATCCTTCACAAAAGTGTTGGAAATAATGAGCTTGCCCTGCTTCATCTCTTACAAGATCTGGGTGGGATTTGGGCTGAGATTTGGAGCCCTGCAGATCAACACTCAGAACAGGTCCCACAAAGTTCTTACTCCTCTTCCTGCCCTCTTTAGCTGACACATGAACTGCCTCAGTTTAGTGACCCTAAACACTGTTAAATCAGGCCGGTTACCCACCTACACCGGTATTTCACATTTGCTAGCAGTCACTACAAAATGTTTCCGGGTGCAAATCCTGTTGGAGTCTGTTTTCCATAGCCTGTGCTCAGCACGGACTTGCCAAAGGCTCCTGGGGAGCTGCGTGCTGGATAACACTCACGTGGATTCAGGGGAGGCTGGGGAGTGGGACCCATTGACAATACTCAATAGATAAACCAGGGCTGCCACAGGAAAATAGCTGAAAATAGCTGGAAGTCAGCAGAATATAGGAAGGGCAAGGATGCTTGCCGTTGTCTTATTCTTCCCTGGGCATCCTCGTGTGGCTGCTGCTTTTCACACCGTTCCTGGGAACACTGCTATACCAAGCTTGTGCCTGGAGAGGGTGGAGGAAGCACCTCGTCCATCTCCCAGTACCAAACAACCATCACGTATAATGTGCAGTCCAGCCAAGGATGTATCAGGTATTAAAATGGAAAGAACTATTTAATTCTTAGCCAAAAGACCAAGAAGCAATGGAGCCTTGGTCTGAACTAGTGCAGTTGTTCTTGTGTCCGCAGGCCAGATCCAGCTTGCAGGTGTGTGTGTTCCTCTTGGCCTAGGATACCTTTCCTTATCTTCCACCTGTGTCATGCAGTGGTTTTACTGTTTGATGAAGATAATACTCATCAAGTCTGAGACTGTTCACGGGGACTGAGTGGCTAAATCTCATCTTGGGTGATTGCAGAGACCTGTACTGGGTAGAAGGTATCAAACTCTGCAAGACAACCATCGTATGTCCTGAAATAAGGGTGTGGTTTTATTTCTAGTGTTGTGGGGGGTGAATGGTCATTAATAACTGGTCAATGCCTGGCCAAACATCAAATAAGAAAAATGCTCCTTGCCTTTGTATCAAATTTTCCATTGGTATCCTAGCTATGATGCTCTTCCATATTGCTGTCCAGACGTGCATGGAGATAACCAAACACTCTCCCTTGCCACTCCTGAAGAAACCATGCATCAATTCAGAGTTGTTGTGACCTTCAATTCAAACATCCTTCTTGAAATTTGCATGAGAGGAATAATGCATAAACTTCTTCAAACCAGGCATTTCACAGAAAGGTTGCAGTTACAAGCTGGAAATCTAGTGTGCCTCTTGATTTCTCCCCTCACATCCCCTTCTCGTTCGTTCACTGTCCACCCTCCTTTCTGTTTCCCTGGCAACGCTGAGTGCACATCCTGGAAAACTTTATCCGAAATCTGCTCTGGGCAGCTTTCCAAATCCATGCTAACCTGATTAGGTGTCTCTGGGGCCTTTGCTGGCTAATCAAATTAGATAGCACTAATGGTAGTGAGGACTTTGAGTGGGTAGAGAGCAGTAAAACATAGTGTATACTTAGTGATAATTATGCTTGCTTTTGTGTCATTGATTTATATGCCTTTTTTCTCCCCCTTTTGTTTTTGTTGTGTTTAAATGCAGCTATTCGGAGGAAGGAAAATGGCTGGTATGATGAAGAGCACCCACTGGTCTTTCTTTTCTTGGGATCATCTGGAATAGGTAACATTTGGGTTATCCTTTGTCCTGAGAGGGATGGGGAGCCAGAGATGAGGCTGTGCTGGGAGCGTTCCTGGCTGCTCTGCACACCTGCGCCCATAGCACAGCACATGCAAGCGTGGGAAGAGGCTGAGAAAGGGGTGTTTTGACTGCTCAGCCGCTCCTTGGGACCCAACACATGCCCCGAGCACTTTCTGCAGAACTGCTCATAGCTCCACATAACATACCAGTGAGAGCTGCTGTCAGCCCTTCCAGGTGGCCGTCTAGTGCATCCTCCTGCCCCTCAGCAGGACAAGCAGCACAGGCTTCAGCACACAGGGCCGCAGCACGTGCTGGAGTGTGCGTGGTCTTGCACTGAGTTATCCCAGGAGACAGTCTGCCCTTAAAGACTCAGGAAGGGACAGTTTTCATAATAAAAGGATAATTTTAACAGCATTGTGCTTTCCAGTAGGAATACCTCCGTAGATGGGGTTAATAATAGAAATTTGCTATCGCAAAAAAGAATCTCTGCTCGTCTTGCTCCTGTGGGCAAGGATTTCTTTGTAACGATGTGATTTTATTGACACTGATAATATTTCTCCTCAAACACAATAAAATGCAACATGGCAGTTGATCAGTTCATGAAATGGACAAAATGACTTTTACTTGGGAAAAAAAAAAAACAGATTTAAAATAACTGAACTGTGACATTTGAAACAACCTCAGTGCTTTTCCTACCTCCAGCTGAGTCACTTGGTTGTCTGGAAGAGGCCGGTGCTGGAAGGGTTAAGGAAACGGTGCGTACGCAACAATTACTGTCTCAACAGGGTCCTGCCTTAGAGCAGTAGCAGGCCAAGTATGAACTCTAGATGAGTTGCTATAAAGCTATATAAAAACAGTAAGAAATGTTTGTGAGACTTCGTTGCACTGCTTATAGCAGATCTGAAGGCTCAATAATATAAATTGTCAGCTCTTCAACTCTCATATATTTCTGTGATAGTTTATTTCTTCTTTTGCTGCCATAAAAATGAATATTGAAATAAGAAAGCAAAGCAGCTCAGAATTTTAATGTATCAAGTGGATACTTTGTATGGGTCTTGATGTAGCAGTAGTCTGGAAGCCCAAATATTGTACAAACTAAAATATCTAATGTGTCTTCACATTTCAGTAGATTCCCACAGTAGTTAAGCACTTTACAGATCCGTTCACATATATGTATACACACGTATGCACATGAATGCATACGCATACATGCATACACTCTCACATTGGGCTACGGCACAGCAGTATATGAAGGCAACAAAGCATGAACTGGAAACAAGATGGAAAATTTTAACAGAGATTTTCAGTGTCAGAAGATGCTTCCAAGCACAGGGATGTATTTCCATTTTTGGCAGCTCTTTTGTGGTGATTGTATCTAAAAGAAGTGCCCAGGATCACCGGAAGGCTAGGGCTTGATGCAGAAATGAGGTGGCAAAATTTTCTGGCCTTTATTATGCGGGAGCTCTAATTAAGTGATCCTAGAGTTCTAATTTACCAAATTTATCTTAACTGAAAAACAGCCCCGGTCTGGGATGGGACCGGGGCAGATGTTTAATACTCCAAGAGGCACAACGTTATCAAAATACAGTGGTTTTAGGTAAGTTACATTTTTAACACCAGCAGAGCTCACTTCTGCCTTAAGCTGCAGTTCCGTTGACGATGTAGGGCTGTACGCTTTTTTAGCTAGTTTGATTTTTAAGATATCATTTTTTCGTTTAGAATAGTTGTTTATGGCATATCTGCGTGTCCGTTCTGTGCCCTAACGTGTCTGAGTGTTTATTTTTCAATGTTTAGTTAAAATATAAAATGGATATATATGCAGTGCAGGTACAATACTAGCTGCAGACGTAGTATGAGATACAAGTTTTAACTCACAAAGCATCTGGTGATTTGACTTCTGTGTCTGTAAAAGGCGGCATCTCCTGTTCTGATAATGTCAGGAGCTGAAATCAGCCAAGATGCTCAGTCTGATAAACCCAGCGATTACATGCCAGTGGGTGGCAGCAAGGCAGCTTCAGGGAAGACGGGAGATTCAGTGGGTCTGGCAGCGCCTGGAATGTTTCAGGCACGCCGTAGAGCCTGCCTGTTTAACACGGTTTTCCCTGAACGGCGAGGCTGGGAGCACCGCGTCTCAGCCTTACTGAGCTGCTGTGTTTGTTGACGCTGTGTCGATGTGGATTTACTCTGTGGTACGTGTTTTGAACTATTGATTGTTCGTAAGCCTAGAATTTTATGACAGTTGCCTTATATAAATCAAATAAAAAAAAATACTATGACATTTCCCTGAAATTATTCTTCTAGAAAGTAAAAGACATTGCACGTGCAATGGAGAGCATTTAGAGTAAGTCTAAGATCTGATCCAACTGCAGCGTTTTGTGTAAAAATCTCTCTGGCTGTCGTTTCAGGATCAGCTGTTTAAAATGAAGTGGCTGGCGCTTGCTTCGCCACCCGTGTTCCTCCCTGGGCCTCCCTGGGCTCCCTGTTGCGTTTTTAACTGGCATTCGGACAGGGCTGTGCTGCTGCTCGTACAAGGAGGAGATCCCCAGAGGCACCGTGTTGGGCTCCTTCAACTCGTTCCTTAAGTCTCCTTCTCTCCAGGAGAAGCGGGGAGCGCTGGGGCTGCGCCGGAGCTGCTGCCGGTCGTGCTGTGTCATTGCTCTTGCGTCCCACGCACGTGCCGCGGGTGCCTGCCAGGGCTTAATCCCAGCTGCAAGCCCTTTGGACAGGGGCTGTCCCTGCTCTCTGCGCAGTACCAAGCGCGGCAGGTCCTGGTGTGGGAGCCTGACCCGCTTGCTGCTCTGATAATACTCTCCAAAATCAGTTGGAGCTCACCGGCCGTGTCAGTAGTTCCCGCTGCACTGGGAATGCATTTGCAGAGAAAACGGGGGCGTTGGTTGCAGTAGGTAACGGCCTCGGAGTTGGCACGGTTCACAGCGGGATAGCCGAGTGGCTGTCACAGCCCCGGACAGATAATATGCACTTTCTAGCTGTTTAACATGCGTCTTTCCCTCCTTTGTTTTGAACAGGTAAAACAGAGTTGGCCAAACAGACAGCCAAGTATATACATAAGGATGTCAAGAAGGTAATTAATGCTACTTCCCTTTGCTCTTTGCCCTTCAAAGGTGTTTAATAGCAGGGTGCGCTTTGTTCCTTGGTGAGATGGTCACTCTGTGGCTTTTCTGTAGCTGAAAGTCAAGCTTGCCACTTAGCCCGTCTGGATCACAACACGTTTTATTCATCAATAGAAAAGAAATGTAAAATTTTTTTGTGTGCACCAAGAAAGAGTTAAGAATCAGTTAAGGTCTATGTCCCTGTCTGTGTTGCTAGTGCCGTTTGAATTATAAAAGTCTAAACTAACTTAAGAAAATATTGTGCTCCCTTTGGAGGTTCCTGTGATTTTGACATCCTGCGTTGTGAACGAATTTATTTGCCTCTGTTACTAATAACAGTGTAAATCATTAGAAGAGATGAAATTCTAAAAATTCATTTTGCATGTCCCTAGCTGCCCCGTTTGTTGCAATGTATCAGTAGACAGTGGAAATAATGGAACTGATTTGGGTTCTCAGTGCTGAAGTGTTTTGGATTCAAATGCTGCAAGCTGTTTGTGTGGTTTTCTTTATTATCCACTTGAGTGTTTTTAGTTAAAATGGGTTAGAATTATTTCCTAGGTGGCCGTAGGTTCTTTACTAGGGGAGTACGTTGGGCACGTCTACCATTTTTAAACTCTAAGCATTTAAATTCAGATTCCTTGATTCACATTGAAGCATCTACCTGCCTTTGAGAAGTACCCAGCTTTCTTCCACGAGATCTGTGGAAGGACAGATACTAGTGCCAAGGCTGGGCACATCACAGGGCAAAATGAAGAAACACAGAGTTGCCCCATAAGCTGATGTTAGATTCATCCTGCCTATCCCCCCGCCACATCTTCCAGCACAGAATAGACACAAGATAAAATGACATAGGTAGAAAGAAGATCAAAAGTAAAACAAAGCTATAAAAATGGCTGATCTGGTTTCTTTTCCTCATCCTTCTATAATTGCCTTCCAGAAGCAATAAATCCCAGTCCCTGGATCTCAGGCACCTTCATCCAAGACTCCTGCACCTGGAACTGGTCAATGCCCGGCCAAACATCAAATAGAGAAATCAGTTAAACACTGAATGTTGTGTTAATTCAATAGCATGCACAAATCGGAGTTTTATTGGTAATGAATCAGCTTGGCGGTCATTGCTGTAATGAGCAGTGCGAAGAGGGGTCATAAACTACATGGGCGGTTATGGGGGAGGCAGCTCTTAGCAGGAACTGACTGATTAAGAAATCCATAATGGTCTCATTTTCATACTGATAGAGAGGTTGCAATGTAATGACAAATGCTGATATCTTTATCCAACCTGAGTTGGTGCACGTGGTATGAATGCTGAGCGAGGAGGATTCAGACCATGAACAGACCAAAGCAAAGCATGACTTACAGAGCCTGATTCTGGTCTTGCTTTCACCAGCTGCCTGTCAGGACGCTGATGGGACGCTCCTCCACCAGGGTCGGGCCCAGAAAGCCAGCCTCTGAGAAGTGATGCTGATTTTTGCACATCTCTCTTTTGCCTGTGCAGTTTGTGACTGGTGCAGACTTGCAGTTCCCAGTGAGTCCAGTTAAGGAGGAGGTGGTTTGCCTTTGTGCAGAGCCAGCACTGTATGTTAAGGGGGTGAACAGCTTTGACCTGATGGAAATTATGGCTATTTAAATGAGACACTCTATGCTTATTGCCTGTTTTAGAGGGATAGATAGGAGAAGCTCGTTTAAATCTATAGAAAGATTATCCAGAAAGCTGGAGATGGCTTTTGAGAACGTGGAGCGTGTACCATGCGTGGCCTTTGGATGACTTGGCTAATAGTGCTACATCGGGCTGTTTCAGATGCTTTCAGTAGAAGAATTTTCCATCAAAAGATGCAGCTTCTTTCACAAAAAAGCTTTTCATACGATTGGTTTCTGCAGTATGTTTAGGTGGAGCAACGTTTGGTTTCAGTTCCATCTGATAAAAACTAAATTGATCAAAAGAAGGCTAGAGTAACAAAATACCTTGACAGTTTTGAAGGAAAGCGTTTCAGTTGGTCTAAAGAGGTTTTTGTTCATGTTTTAATATTTTTGTTATGCAGAGAAAATTGGATGTTTTGAGTTGAAATCCATCCTAAATTGCCTATTCCCTTACTGCCTCCACCTAATAACTGGCATATCCTGGGAGAGCTGCAAACCAGGCAGATCCTCCAGGGCAGTGCGGTCACTGCCTCCCTCTGTACCGTGGGAGTTAATGGCAGTGTCTTCTTGGCTTGGTGCCTCTAGACTACATCTGGGATCCGAAAGGCATTGGGATACTCTCTGCACTGCTAAAAATCCCATCCATTAGCTCTGAATGTTTTTGTGGAATAGCCCTGTGTGGGGGTGTGGGTGTGGGTGAATTGTCTTTGTGCGTGTATCCTGGTGAGATGTACACACAGACATGTGTGTCCTTCCCTACAATATTTGTTCTCTGTATATCCTCTCACCTGCATTTGCTCTTTCCAGTAAATGCCCATAGGTCTCCAGAGGAGGGCCATTGTCAGAGGATAATATTTGAGTTGTCTTCAGCACATGTTTAAACCAGCCTCTAAGGGACTTCAGCAACACTAGATTGCTGCCTGTGATGGTTTCATTGATACAGCATGGGAACAGTCATACGCATTGTGGAGCAGGTAGTCCTGGAAGGTGTAACCTGTGACTGCCCAAAACCTATTAACTGGATGCCTATGGAGAACCACCATGTCTAGTTGACCGTGTCTGCATTGTTGCTGAGAAAGTTCAAACTTATCTTCTCATAGCTGTAGGACCTAGGTTATAGCTGCAAGCCCAGGCAATTCAGTGTCTGCAGTGAACCAGCTTTTGAAATGGAAAAGGACAGTGCGGTCACTGCCTCCCTCTGTACCATGGGAGTTTGTGGAGTAACTATAAATTCTGTAACAATATTATCTCTTAGGTGTGATCATCCACGGACCTAGTTTACCTTGGCTGTATGATTTTTGCTTTTATTTTATTTATTTTTACAGAGAAGCATTGTGTTCTTCTTGTGATTTATTTCAAAAAATTGAACAGCAATAATATCCGTTTTATTTAGCAAATTGCAAATTGCTATTTCAGTCCCATTTTTATCACTCTTGCTCTAGAGATGAGCAGAGCATCTGAACTGAACCTCAGTCGGAGGATTGTTAGCCAGCTGTGGGAACTGTTCCTAGCTGTCTTTGAGAAACTGCAATTATTTTCCTCTTCCTTCAGAATAAGTCTTCAACATTTTATAGTGGATTTATCTGGCCATTCCATTGCCTGTAATCCTCAGGAACCAAGAAACAGACACCAGTGTGTTCATCCGTGTATCCACGTGTCTGGTTCTGAAGACTTCTAAATGTCCTGAAACTTTGAGCACATTCATCAAAATCATGTTACATGTTTATTTCTCTTACAGGGTTTCATTAGACTGGACATGTCAGAGTTCCAGGAAAGGCACGAGGTTAGTAAATGGACTGTCGTACATCCAGAGATTGCAGTTTCGAGTTTAATTGATAATTTAAACAAATGGTGTCAATTCCTTCTTTCCCCTACCTTTCATCACTGTCCTTGGAGGGGCTCAAGATCTCCCAGCTGTTCTTGAACACAAGAAACACCTCCCAGTTGGATGCTGGGAGCCAAGCCCAGGCAGCGAGCGTTCAGGATCTTTCCAAATTAGTTCCACGTTCTCCAGGACATGGGCGGTTTAGTGTGTCAAAAAGGGATGCAAGAAAAGTAGCAACAAGAGTTGCTCAGGGCTATGGAGTACATTGCAATATGGGGACTACCAGTCAAAGAACAACAAGCTAAAGGGCAGCACATGAGGAACAGAGACCAAGGAGAAAGAAAAGCCTTAGTCATTTGTATCCAGTACTGTGGCTTCTGTATGTGGTGTCCGTACCCTTGAGTGAACGGAGATCATGTTGTGCTGAAAACATGCAGTCTGGACATGAGTGATTAGCCACAGTTTGTAAATACACAGAGACTGTTTGTAAGCCCAAGATAAGCTCAAGTGAGCGCAAAACCGCATTCACTTCCTGATGTCAAAAATTTTGCCCCGGCCTAGTTTGATTGAACCTGGTTATCTGCTGCCTTGGCTTTATGTGTGCCGAGTCTGTTGAGATCGTGTAAATTAGATCCTAGGATGCATTAAGGTGCCAAGGGTGCATGGGTTGTCCACCTCCAGAGCACTGGCCAGCTCTGTCCACAGTCCCATGTGTTTATTCTAACAGTCTGAACGGTAGAAGTGTCTAGGCTTGAACAGTATGGACTTGCATTTAGCTGACAGAGGAGATCTGTGCTGTATCACCACTTCAGCGTAACTCCCACGAGAGCCCAGTAGACAGAGTCCACCCCTCCTATCACACCTACGGGGCCGATTACTTCTGATGCTGCAAAAGAAGCAGAACATCTCCACTGGTTCAGACGCTGGAGATGGTGGGATCGTTACAAGACTTGGAGGATGAAAGTGCCTAAAATGCCCACAGTGAATACGCGAGAGTGAATCTGCAAAAACTTCCCTTGAGAAGTTGTGGGATGCTATAACGAATCCAGGGAGAAGAACTTATAGCACAGAAAATTTCAGACCAGAAGGAGGTAATCTTATAAAGGGACTGTTGGCTGGAGACACACAGCCTGAGCGATCCCACTGTAGCTGTTATGCACCTATATGAGGCCTTTGCAATGGAAAGTGGTAAGCCCCCCTCGGGGCCCAGGCAGCCCTAATCCTTTTGGAGGGTTCTGTGTCCCGCTGACTGTGCGGAAAGGAACAAGGTCCTAGAAATCTTGTTTACAGCATTGTTTCTTTCGATGGCTGGTAGGGGTCTTTAGTGGAAACGTTTGGGTAAGATGCACCCAGATCCAGAAAGCATGAGATAGGATGCACTGAAGATCAGCCCCTTAAACAGTGCAGCTGCTGCATTGTTTTATGGAAAAAGGAGGAAAAAGGAGGAGGACTCACTGTCTGACGCTTAGGAAGATGGTGTCCTGAACGTGAGAAGGAGGAAGGTGCTGGGGAGGAGCCTGCCGGGGGGGTGCTCAGAAGTACCACTCAAACTGGGAGTGCCATGTTTTTGCATTTCTTTCTGAGCAGTTGTCAGGCTCCAAGCTGAGGGCTGCAGCCAACCTCTTTCCTGGTGATTAGGGAGCCCTCTCGCTTATGAGAAGAGAGAGGGTTTTAGGCAAACCCTCCCATTCAGCATCTAGCCTGTGCCAAAGGCTGATTAGAGCATTGAGCTAGCGCAAGGCAGTGTGAGTCTCAGGACCATTGCCAAGATCCATAGGGCCCTTGAATGGCCAGGGCTAGAAAAGGTCCGGAAGAGTGTTATTTTCTCAAAAACATTGAAGTGAAGGGATACGGGAAGAGAAAATAAAGAAGTGCTCACTGCGAGACTGATAGATGGCTCCTCAGTTGTTATGATAGGAACCTACACAGTAGGAGTAGAAAATGAATAAAAATAAAGCCATAGTGATGATTCAGTACAAAGAAAGAACGAAGAGTTAAAAGTAGCAGTATAACTGTAAGGTATAAAATATTGTGTCCTGACAAAGACAAGAGGCAGAGCAAAGGGAAGAAATGAAGGAGAGAATTGCAGGGAAAGCAATATAAATTTTTCAAGCAAACAAGGATCAGAAGGTCAGTCCAGGAGACAGCATCCTTTGAAGGAGCCTGGGGAGCTTCATGCAGCCACAGGCACTGCAAAACAAATGAAATGGATTAGCTGCCTTCAGCTAATTTCTGCCTTTGCATCCCTGAGTCAGTGGGAGCCCCCTCAGCTCTGTCCCCAGTGTCTTGAAGGAGGGCAGGGGAGGCAGCAGCGCTGCCCCGTAGTCCTCTGGAGGGGGGACCCCAGCTCTCCCCAGGCGGCCTGTTCAAATTGCTCCGCAGGTGGCAAAAAGGATCCACCTTTGAATGAAAGAAATTGTGTATCCTAAAGTGCTGTCGGTTCCAAGGCAAAGATGAAGCTACTGTGGCTTGTTTCCCCTGCCAGCCTTGCAGGGCGAAGCACGCCGAAAGGGAACTGGCTGCCCCGGTCCCGCTGGCCCACGTGCGTAAGGGCACCAATGGCTTTAGCTACCCTCTGGCGCAAAGCGAAGCCACAACAAGCTCGCCAGTAATCTGCGCTGCTTCATTGTCCTAGAATAAGAAGTTGCAAATTCTCTGTTTTCTGAGGAGTTGCCAGTATTCTGGGGATTGGGGATTTTGCTCCAAGAATTCCACCTGCTTCCGGTATTAGGAGGTAGAAACTGACTCTTTCAGCATACAGGCATCCTAGAGAACCACACTGAATTAACCAAGCTGACTTACAATTTTGTTTCAGCTACTTTTATACACTTAAAGGACAGTGAGTGTAGACGGTGCCGGAAGCACCTGCAGAACTGGATGCCTTGAAAATGTCCCAAAATGCATCAAAAATCACTGGTTGTCTTTACTAAAATATTTCTGTTTTCAGAAATATTCTTCTATTTTCTTCTTTGTAACCTTATTTAAAAACTCATAGCATCAAGAAGTAATAAAATTGGTTATTGACACAGGAGAAATATTTTCATTGTGACCTCTTCCCAAACTTTGATTCCCCACCAAAGCCATCGGGCACTCATATGGCTTTAAATTCTTGCTCTTAAAAAAGGCTAAGAGGTGTTAAAGTATGTCTTCAGCAGCTAGGAAGAAAGGTAGGGATTTTGTCCCTAGGTCCCTGTTTGCCTGCCAGTGACTGCTCTTTCAGATTCTGGTGGTTAAAGCTCTGTGTGAGTTAATGGCTCAGCAGTCACTGGTCTGCATTTTGCCAAATTGTTGCTGATTAAGCTGGTCTTGGGATACCTGGGGTGTGATAGATGTCACAACATATGCAGAACTTGATTTGTCTACAGAAAAGAATCATGGCTGATTGCTAGCTGCTCCATACCCGAGAGGGCTTCTTTCCCGACGACGAACAGATCATCTTCCACGTCTCCTGTTGCTTTCTCCTAGGTCGCCAAGTTTATTGGCTCTCCACCTGGCTATGTGGGCCATGAAGAGGGTGGGCAGCTCACCAAAAAGCTGAGGCAGTGTCCAAATGCTGTGGTGCTCTTCGACGAGGTCGACAAAGCCCACCCAGATGTCCTCACCATAATGCTGCAGCTGTTTGATGAAGTAAGTCTGCATTTCAGAACCTGAGCTAGCACAAAGTTAGCAGCAGAGGATGACAGTGGGCAGCGTAAAGGATGATGGCTATTGGAGATGTTCTGGACCACAGTTGAAACGCTCCAAGTCAGTGGTTACTTCTAAAAATGTAAGCCAGCCTGGCACTCTCTTTTCCATTTTAATACCAGGAAACAGGATAATGCTGAGGTTTCCTGGTAGAAGAAATGACATCTTCAGACAAAATGATGGGAAGGTTAGAAAACTTAGCAGGAAGGCTAGGAATCGGATTGTCCTGTGTCACTGGGACGGTGTTACGGTGAAGACCGTGTCATGGGGATACTACCAAGGCAAGAAACCCCCAATGACAGCTCAGTGACAAAATAGGTGGACTGCCTGTCCATTGCAGAAAGTAGGAGCTACGAGAGGAGGCGGGAAGGCGATTGCCCCGTTGACAGGCATGCCCTGTGCGGCCGTGTGCCTTACATGTACACCCTCTCAAACATGACAGGGAGGAAATCAAGCACAAATCAGAGTATTGTCGCATCATCAGACAAGCACTGTATTCTGGAGAAGGCCTTGCAGGGCTCCTTAATCCATCTGAATCCTAATGAGTCATTTCTTGTTGATTATCTGCTTTCTAGTTCAGGTTGATTAATTGCTGATTTTTCAGGTGCCAGGTGGTTTGTCTCACACCTTTCCCCCTCCAAACATACATGGCACTGCTTGATCCTGCTGGGGACTAGGAGGGAGGGCAGATACTCACTGTTAGAGGGAGAGGGCACAGATAAAGCCTATGGCTTTGGAGTCCTTTGCTGTCTGCTGGTCTCTGGGGGAACTCTTTACAGACGACCTGTCTTGGGAAGCTACAGTTTGCCTTGTGTGAACCGGTGGCAACCAGAGACAAATATGTGTCTGCAGGAGTTAGCCTGGGGCCTGCAGAAGAGATTAAGCAAGCGGTGGTTGTGCTGCATGCTCCGTTGAGCACTCAGCCTGTTGCATGCAAGCTTTTCCATTTCTTTTTAAGGTCCCAGTCTGTCCTCAGAGGCAAACAAACTCCCGAGCAATGTGCTGAGAGGTTTTGGGGGGGTTTGTTTTGCTTTCAGGATTAATAACACAATTTTTTCTTGCATAGATCATCACAGCAGCAGCTAAATGTGAAATCAATTCTTGTACCATGCACTTGACAGGGCAATAACCCAAATGTTAATCTCAAGCACCCAACAAGGATTTGTGTCATTGTACTGGATATCTGCTGCTGGAGACATATCGAGGAAAGAAACTGCCTGGGGAGCTGCTTATTTTTTCCTCTTTATTTTTCTCTCTTTTTTATTTTATTAATCAAGAGAAGTAGCACTTTTGAAGGGTTCCTGTGTTAGTTTGGTAGCATACCGCAGCAGTTAGTGAGCCAACAGTAGTCACCTCGCCACATAAGCCAGATGCAGCTCATGCTGCTCCCCGTGGACCGTGCTTTCCTGCGATGCTGGGCTGCAGTTGCAGCCACTGGCCCTGGTTTGGTTCGTCGAGGTGATTCTGCGGGCGTAAGGGGCGCTCCCTGTTGCCTCTTGCTGTCACAGTTTCTTCATTACCTTGTTCACTTCCATGTATGTAACCAGAGCAGAGTGACCCAGAGAAAAGAGGTCAGTTCCTCTGGCCCATTCCACAGCCCCCATCTCCTCAGAAATGTTGGGATTTAATTGGCAACAGTTTTCCAACAAATTTTTTGTAACCCTGCTATTTCTGCAAGATTATTTCAATTTTACTTTTTTTGATTGGACCACTAACACTGCACTTCTACATGGTGCTTTCAAACCCCTATAAACCTCACTTGGAGCCCTACCCCTCACTGTAACCCTGCCACCCCTGCATGGAGATCTGTAAAACTGCCAGCCACAGTGGCACGGAGGGCTTTGGACTGACTCATTTGTAGGACTTTGATGAACATGTGTAAATGCTGTTTAAGGCACTGATGCCTGTTGCTTCCCACTCTGATTCTCTGCTGGTGGTTACCACTGAAAAGAGTCAGCAAGGGGGAATGTATCGCATCTCAGTCACTCCAAGTCCAGCATCCCAGCTTAAACCGCAGCCAAAAGCAGAGCTGAGCTAAGACCTTGGACTGTGTCTGAGAGTCCTGCCTTCAAACCTACCGGAGGGACAACAGCCTCTATCAGAGGAGTGGGTCAGAGGCACTGGGTGGCAACAACTTCACTTGCTCTTGGCGGGATTCACCAGAGCTCATGTGTCAGACCCAAAATCACAGCAGGGAGATGGGCAGAGGTTCAGATGCAGTTGAGCTGCACAAGGCAGGCAAGCATAGGTGACTGAGAACTGCACCAGCCCATCTCACTCGCAAGGTAGGATGCTTTTCCCAAAGCTTCAATTGAGTGTATCCTGGCTGGGGCCAGCTGGGACTGTGTTCATGGTCAGTTACTGTGATTGCTCTGAGAAGTGGTAGCTTCTGCAGCCTCTGCAGCTCAGTCCTGTTTAGTTGCCTGCCTCTGTCACAGAATCACAGGACGGTTGAGGTTGGAAGGAACCTCTGGACATCATCTAGTCCAACCCCCCTGCTCAAGCAGGGTCTCCTAGATGAAGCTGCCCAGAACCGTGTCCAGACAGCTTTTGCACATCTCCAAAGAAGGAGACTCCACAACTTCTCTGGGCAGCCTGTGCCAGGGCTCAGTCACCCTCACAGCAAAAATGTTTTTCCTCAGGTTCAGACAGATCTTACTGTGTTTCAGGTTGTGCCCGTTGCCTCTTGTCCTATTACTGGGCACCACGGAGAAGAGTCTGGCCCCATCCTCTTGACACCCTCCCTTCAGATACTTCTACACGTTGATCAGATCCCCCCTGAGCCTTCTCTTCTCCGGGCTGAACAGGCCCAGCTCTCTCAGCCTTATCCTGTATCCTTGGCTGTCCCTTGGACAGTATCAAAAATGCACCCATTCTGGGGAAAAATGGGACCCATGACCTTTTGTCTCTTGTTTTGGAAATGTTCTGTGACAGCTGCTCATGCTACTTGTGTTGACTGGTGTTGTTCCAGGGCAGACTGACAGATGGGAAAGGAAAAACCATCGACTGCAAGGATGCCATCTTTATCATGACCTCCAATGTGGCAAGTGATGAGATAGCCCAGCACGCTCTGCAGCTCAGGCAAGAGGCCATGGAAATGAGCAAGAAAAGGATCGCAGAAAACTTAGGTACTGCTCTTTCGATGTCATACCCCAAATCCTTAAAGAATCCACTGCCTTCCTAACAGCATAGGTTCCTGCTGCAAGAATCACGTGCATTGCCTCATCAGCCACCAAAACTTCTGAAAGATACCCTCCAGCATTGCCTGGCCAGGTACCGCTGCCTTTCACAGCCTCAGACCTCCCAGCCAGCTCCGTCTTGACCAAAGCTGGCTGAAACTCTTGCTGGAGGAGCTCACAAGACCCTAAAGCCCCTTGCCCTACAGCTCTTGGAGAGATCTTTGTTAAAGTTCCTGCTTTTTTTTTTGCTGCCTCTACTCATGCCCAGTGCACTGTGCCGTGGCCTCAGATGGCCACATTTGCCCCCCTCTGGCATTTTTCACAGTTTCTCCAGGATCCTTTTCTGGACTCGGCACACAAAGCTTTCCTCTGGCTCTGGCTCTGCCCTCTACACTGCCACTCTCTGTTCTCCGAGACTGTTTGTTCAAGCCTAGTTTTCACACAAGCACGCTCAAACTCTCTGTGTCCTCACTGCACTGGTCTTTGCAGACTGTGTATGTTCTCCTCTGGACAGAATAGTGTTGCAGCAGCTCTGTGGTGGAGGTGTGGAAACCCGCCTTCACAGAGCTCCCTCCTCAAATGCATGTTCAGCCCAAATTGCTGTGGAGGAGTCTGTTTTCCTGATGACCACTGTCATCTGTGCCGGGAGTAGGTTAATAATTGCTCACTCCTATTCTCTAGAGGATAGGGCTGTGTCATGGGTGTGCCACATATTCACCTTGCCTCAGATAGTGATGGAGTTCTGCATTAATGAAGTGGTCACCCTCTAGTCAGCTGCTAAGAACTCTGGGAATGTGTACTGGGAGCAAACTGAAGGTCTTAATAAGTATATCCCACTGTTTGTTTCATTTGACATCACCCACGCTACCATCCCTTTGCCAGAAGGGAGCACCCAGACGGTTCTGCGCTTGCCTCTCTTCTGCTAGACCCTGCAGCTGGTCCGCACTGACGCGTGCTCCAAGGTGCAGCAGCCTGAGGGCGAGTCTCGAGGGTGCTTGTCTGCCGGAAGGGAAGGCAGCTACCTGCTCCCACCTGTGCACGTGTCTAGGAAGTTTCCCGTTTGGCTTCTAGCATGACCTGTTGCTGAAAAGGAGTCCCACGCACCAAGCTGAGCTGTTCTTTCTCCTGTGATACCTCTGCTTTGGATTTGCCATGTCCTGAAATCCTCAATACTCGAGGTCACATCCTTGAGCTCTCTTTGTCCTTGGGAAGGGATTTATGTCCCACCTCTCAGCCTTCCTGCATCTGTGCTCTTCTCTTTATCTCCTCATCCTTGTCTTTCGTTCAAGACATTTCGAATGCTTTCTGCAAAAAGGCTGCGGCCTGTAGAGATGTTCACATTTTGAGAGCGTTTGTTTCCCCACAGTCATTCCCAAAAGGACTGAGCTTAATAAATTTGACTTTGCCTTGCAATGGGAACAGCAAGCCCACGCGAGGGTCCTGTGGAAGTTTTTCCCAGAAAGTGAAGTAATGTACTGAAAAGGAGCATTGAGCAGGGGTAAGGGCAACCTTTAAGATTTGAAGTAAACCACTCCGTTGAAGGCAGCAGAGAATCCCAATTTCAGTTTAACCCTCAGTTTTCCTCACCTTGCAGAGATAACTCCAATAGCACCCGCAGGCGCCAGCTACTGACCAGGTCTCTGCTGTGCTGAGGGTGGGCGGAAGGTGATGGCTGCTCGGACACCATTTCCTCTAGAGCTAAAATGAGAGACTGTATGTGAACACAGACACAGGCGTAGCGAGCACGGGAAGCACTGTCACCGTCCAGTGTTACTGTGCTTGTGAATAACCAGGCAGTCGTTTATCATGATGGTCACATCCTGTGTTTTCCCATCAGGTTTAGTTCCATTTTACTGTCTTATGTGTCTAGACAGCACATCTTCCATATAGTATCTAGCAGTGTGCACCATTGTACACATATGCAGTATTTGCAAAAAGGTCAGTGTTGAGAACTCCTCTCACCGGTGGAAACGCCCTGAGAACGTGTGTGCAGTGTGTACTGAGGCTGCACCACAGCCATCTGCATCAGCTCCATGGATAGCAGGAAAAAAGGTTGGGTGTAGGCCTCAAATGTATTTTTCAGCTTCTCTCTCTCACTGTCTCCTCCTTTTTATTTTGAGAAGCGGGTACGAAAGCTTGCTTAATTCAGACTCTTTAAACTTCAGTCATACTAGGTAAAGGACAAAGCATGCCTGCAACTGAACTTTCAAGAATAACATTTTAAAATGCCAAGCACTTTTCTCCTAAATGAGGAAAGCATTGAATTTTAATTTCTAGACCTGCACAGCAGACAGCTGCAGTTGGTGAATGACAGTGAGAGAGCATAGCTGGAAAATGTATTTTGGATCAGAAGCCTAGGCTCAATTGAGTTTCGTGGACCTCCTTGTAATTTACTGAGCTCCTGGCTTGGCTTGGTCTTGAATGCAGTGGCCATGAGGTCAGTGTAAGTGCCTGGACGGTAGATAAATGGAAAGATAGACAGAAGGAGCTGCTTCTACAGTATCTCTCAATCTGTAAGTGCAAGTAGCGAGTATTACAGGTGAGAAAGCTGAATATTGGGGGTGGCTCTGTCTGTTCTGCCTTTTCCAGCTCTTCTCTTCTGGAGGACTTGTATGCTGAGAGAATGCCATGCCAAATTCCTTTTTTTTTTTTGGCAAATCCCATTGTTGATGTCTTTAAGCACAAAACAGAACAGTGAAATGGGCCAAATCCTTATAACTAAGGACCCTCCTTCCCCACTGAGACTAAGCGGCGAGGCTCCACTGTTCGTCTCCCCCATGCTGTGCAGCACACACCTACCCAGAACGTGATTGAGCACCAGCGTGCTTGTGTCCATCATAAGGGGGTTGCTAAGGCTAAAGGGGGACCCATTTCAAACAAGGGTCAGTAAGAGCACCTCAGCCTTCCTCGGCAGCCTGGGATGGGAAGGGGAAGAGGTGATTTCAGAGCGCACAGCACCACGTTGTTGCACGCAGGCGCTAGTGTTGATAAGGCCAAGCTTGAAAGCCTCATCTGCCGCTGTTACGTGTGTAACACTCTTTGCCAAGGCTGTGAGGTGGGAAAAACCTTTCGGGCTCCAGCCTTCAGTGTGGAGCTTTCTCTACTGGCCTGTTTTACAAAATCCTATCCGAGCATCTTTGATGCATGCAGCCTGCCTGTGGGCTTGGTTCTGTTAAATAGCATGTGTAGTTAAATGCTTGAAGATGTAGAAAGAAATGAAGAGATAAAGAAAAAGAAAAAAGTAAATTTAGGCCACAGAAAGCTAAACCCTGCATTTAAGCTGCCTGCCGTAGTACAGAGGTGGGATTCAGGGAGCCTGCTGTGCGGGGCTGCCAGACCCTGGCTCCATCTACAGTCAACGGAGGGAAGTAGACCCAAAGCCTAAATCAGACTTCTGCAGCAGGCCGTCTGAATATGGATTTTGCTGTTTGCTGAACGGACTAAGAACCATTTCTCTGTGCCTGACAGGAGCTGCGGGAGCCTATGGAGAACAACCCCGGATGACAGTGTACTTTGTGCCTAATGTAATCAGCGCTGGTTCTGATAGCCCAGCCGCAGGCCAGGGTTTGTGGAGGCCAAATGAGGACTCCTGTTATCTGAAGTCTCCTGGCAGACGGCTCCTGGGCGGTGTAAGGCAAAGGGTGGAGGTGGAGCAGAAGCTCTTTAGCCGTGCAAGAGTATCAGTGAAACACACTAGTGAAGCGTGCTCTCCTTGAGCCCCAGCGGCACAGAGGGCGGCCACAGAGGAGACCCAGGCACGTGCAAGTCGGGGACCGAAATGGCAGGAACCCGTTACATAGAACGGAAGGTGCAGGACAAGCACGTTACCAACAGCCTAATACACAAATGTGTTTTGTGGCATGTATCAAGATCCCAAGTCTGTTGTAAAGCCCCCCCTAAGCCCCTGTCTTGCCTTCCTGCCCACTGTCCTGCTTCTTTTCATGGTGTTTTACTTGTTCGTTCTCCAGGAGTCGGTGAGACAGGAAAACCATGTCCTGCCTGACATACTGACACACAATGTCTTTATGTCTTTCAGAGGATGTCCAGATGACCGACAAGATAACCGTCTCTAAGCAATTCAAGGAAAAGGTTATTCGCCCGATCTTAAAGGTACAGAGGATTTTTTCATGGCTTATGTTTCAGGCGTCCTAAGTTTTGGTCACTGAGCCTTCCTATGCAGTATCTGCCATGTTCATCACCCCGTTCCCCAACTGTCTCCCAGCTGTGCGATGTAACACAACATCATTTGTTTTTAATTTTCAGCCACAAGAAGGAAGCTCAGAGCCTTGCAGAAACAAATGACAGCATCCTATTGACTCCCTGTGCTCTTGTATTAAGAGCGATGATATGAGACAGAAAAGGAAGCATGGGGTGGGAAGTGTTGCAGTAGGCATCTGTGAGGGTTTCTCTCCTCGCCCTGGCCCACGGTCCACTCAGCTTCCACACTGCAGCAGAGGGGCCAGGAAAGTCTGCCTGCTCAGACAGCAGTCCTCCAAGCTCTGTCTTGTACAGAATAGGGTTGTCTTAACGGCCCACACCTCCATGATGGTGTATGAAGAGCATCGCAATGAGAGAAATTGGGATGCAGAGCACGGGTCCAGCTGATGCTGGATAGTGCTGCTGCTCACTGAGTGCTGAGGATGCTTTGTGAAAGTTACACCAGGAACAGGACTATCCCCTCTAATTTAACTCACTGCTCTTAGGTGGTGCAGAGGTGAGCACTTTGGGGTAAGATCTGAATGACGAGGATGGGCTTTTCCATACTGACAGGAACACAGACCCCTCACGTTGTTCCCTTTTCTGTATGGCAGGCTTCAGGGGGAAGGGGCACTTGGACTTCACCGTTACGTGGACTCTGAGTGGAACCAAGCGCTCCTGGTGTCCTGCTTGGTTTTTTTGTTCCCACTGGTGGGGGCTCCCAGATGTTTTTTTGATTATCTACTTCCAGTAGCTGCCAGAACAGAACCGCCAAAGTACTTCCTTGGCCGGCTCTAAAATGCATCCTCCAGTGGTCTGAATATGAAGGAATGCTAAAGAAGACACTGGGAAGCTGAAGCCATGGATGCCTGTAGACTGCTCCATGCCTGGAGAGTGTCATAGCACAAAATGTGGAGATTGCTCTAACAGAGGGGTCCGGCAGGCTGACACCACTGACAAAGGGGAACAACGGGAGCAGGGCTAGAAGCCATAGTAGCATAGTAGTTCATTTAATGCAGTAGATCAGCAGGCACTAACAGTCTCTGGCATCAGTGGCGTGACATAAACGTGTTTCTGTGACACAAACCTTCTGCCTTCACCGCCCTGGAAACCACACCAGACCCCTGCCAGCAGCTGCCGGTAACCTGACCTGGGATCCACTGTGGGTTAGTACCCACGTGCACACAGGATGGAGATCAGTCCTGTAATGCCCTCAGCCACGTGTCGCCCTGTCAGTCCGGCTGTGCCTTTCACTGGTGCCGTCCGGTGCAGCCCAGCCTCTCCCCTCCTGCATTGCATGGGCGCAGTCTGAGCGCCTGGTGCAAGGGTTAAACTGGGGGAGGAGGTCTGACTGCAGCCACAGTCAGTGTATCTGGGCAGGTTACGGATGGCAGGGGGACTCCCAATCACATTAGCGCACAGAATTGATGCATGTAGGAAGTGTGCAAGAAATGCTCGCAGTCTGTCGGAATGAAAAATCCCACTGCTTCCTACCCCTGCCCTGGCAATTAAGTTTCTTTAAGATGTTTCTAAAGCACTTCAGGGTGCTGTTCATATGGCACTTCCTACACAGACCAAGAATTTGACCTCCCTGTGGGAGGCTCAGATCAGACCCTCAGAAATGGGAGAGCCCAGAGAGCAATGAGGAAAATGTCACCGTGACTCGTGCAGGAGAATGCAGCAGGAAAGGCTGGAGCGGGGCTTACAGTGCAGGGGAGATTAGTTTTTAGTTCCTTCCTTTGCCATCTCTAGAAAAATTAATTCCTCTCCTAAGCAATGCTGAGAGCTGCTCTTGGTGACCCAAGATCTGGCAGCATGGATTTCCTGCTCCGTGGCATGTGGAGGGATGGTTGCCAGGGCCTCATTACGTGGATGCGTGAGCTGTTGTTTGGAGATGTAGATGGGCTCTGGGGAACTCCTTCTGCAGTGTCACTGTTGCAGGTCTGCCTGTCAGGGTCACCACCCTGTCCCTCCTGACCTTCAGCCTTTGTCCTTGCAGGCTCACTTCCGACGGGACGAGTTTCTGGGGAGGATCAATGAGATTGTGTATTTTCTCCCTTTTTGCCACTCCGAACTCATCCAGCTTGTCAACAAGGAGCTGAATTTTTGGGCCAAGAAGGTAAAAAACTTTGCTCAGAGCAAATTGCTTAAGAAGTAGTTTCTCACATGACATGTGAGCCAGAGGAAATCCCTGTCCAAGCCTTCGTCCTGCTGACGTAGGAGCAGAGTGAATGTACTGTTCCTACCCTAGTCTCTTACATGCTGTTCAGCACCAGGGGAACTTCTCTCTTTGGGCATGCAGCACTGAGGAAGGTAAAATCTCTTGGGATGGCAAGGGACAGTTCTTCCAGGACTGGGGTGGGGGGTGAGCATTTGGGCCGCAGAGACGTTAAAGTGCTGTCTTGACTTTGCACATCTGAGCTCTCTAGGTGGCTAAATAGAGATGAGGGACCCAACTTGCTTCTGTGGGTCTGGCCTGGAGGAGCTCTCAGTGCGCTTCCCTGCCCGGTTATCTGTGCCTGCTGGATGGGAGCAGCGCAGTGAACACGACTGAGGTTCCCTGCAACGTTAAGGGCTTTGGCCTCTGTTTCCCGAGGAACTGTAGCCACACTCTCAGGGCTGGAGCAGCAGCAGGCCAGGCTTGTAGCCATGGGCAGCAAAGGATCACAGGGGCATTTGAGAGATGCGTGCAGTATCTGTCCTTTTCTTGGTCTCAGATCTAAGCAGGGGACTTGCAAACTGTAACTTAAGCTAGTACAGGTATTGTCTTAGATGCACCAGGCCAGACGTCAGCTCCTTCTGCAAGGCCATCTCAGCCAAGCTCAGGCACAGGGGTACTCCCAGCTCCTCGCTACGTTGCCCATGGTGTCCTGGGTTCCTAACTAGTGAAGAAATGGGTCACTCAAAGGCACCAGTAACACTTCCTTCTCCTTTTCACCCCGCAGGCCAAAACGAGGCACAACATCACCCTGCTTTGGGATAGAGAGGTTATGGACGTGCTGGCTGATGGCTACAACTTGCACTATGGCGCCCGGTCTATCAAACATGAGGTAAAGTAGAAGGATGAAGCAAGCGTCGGCCCCATGTGGAGTTACACAGGGCGCAGGAGCACAGATGAACCCCACAGCATCACATCATAGTCACAGTCTGCATGGGAAGAGTCAGGATAGTCACTCTTTGTGTCTGTCCCGTAGAAGAGTGTGCCCACAGATTCCAAGGCTGAGATGTTCTTGACCTGTGGGAGGAAACATCACAGCCAATATACTTCAGAAAGACACACAGAGGATAAGTTATGTGAGCAGGAGATGTGGGATTTCTCCTGCCTTTCTTCAGTGTCCACACACACATTTGTGCCAGCATATACATGCTCCTGCCTGTGCTTTGCATTTGTTTCCATCTGACGCTGGTTAAAATCCATCAAGAAAATGTCCACTCTGAGAGTGGTTTTCTGAAGAGCTTCAGGTGCATGTTGTTCAGAAGCAGCTGAAGTCTCTTGGTGCAACTCCTGCTACAGTACGGTGTAAACTGTGCTGCCAAGGCTCAGTCCTGTCCACAGAAGGCAGAGAAGAGACACCCCAGGGACATCTGCTCTGCCCTTGGGTGGGAAGGAGTGCTGCATGGCTCCATAGGCATTGAGGCTGATCAAAGGGGCTTAAGTGGGCAGAAGGCTTTCTAACGGGAGCTGCTTTTTCTTCTTCAGGTTGAACGGCGTGTTGTGAACCAGTTAGCAGCTGCCTATGAGCAGGACCTGCTGCCAAGGGGGTGCACCTTGAGGATCACAGTGGAGGATTCGGACAAGCAGCTGCTGAAAACCAAGGACAACTCTTCACCTGGAATGGATAAAACAAAGATGCCAACCCTGCGGCTGGAGATAGTGGAGAAAGACAGCAAATCCCGAAAACTGGACATCCAAGCACCTTTGAACCCTGAAAAAATTACTTTCTTCTTATAGGCACGAGGACCACTCCTGGAGCACTCTCCAAGCAGCTGCTGCCTGTGAGATGCTGCAGGCTGTTCCGGTTGACAATAAAATACCATGAGACTCAGAGTGTCCAGTCTGGCCACATCAGTGAGTACAGGCAACTCCTGACTGTCAGAGCAGGGCGTGAGGCAGGGCAGGGGCAAAGCTGTGCTCTCACGAGCTCCTCTTCCTCTTCAGGAGCGGGACACAGGCAGGCAGGACCCTCGCGTGACCAGACTGCGCCTGTTTATTCTGGATAGACGCACAGGTTGTGGAGCTGCAGCTACGAACCAGGGAGGTGCCATGCTGCTGTTACGGGGACATAGCAAATATATAGGTGGAGGGTAGTGGGATTTCGCCATAGAAGCACGTGGCACAAGAGAAGGTGTAGGAGTATTTTAAGAAGAGGGGCAAAGCACATTTCAGATGGTACAGGAGCCGGGGAGTCCGGCTCTGATAAGACTTGCTGTTCCCTATAGGGGTGGCTGACTGCGGAGGCTGGGTTCGCTGGGGCTGGGTTGCTGCTGGAAAAGGGGTAGGACAGGGACTGAGTGTATGACAGCTTGATTTTGAAAGCCACCAGGCATTCTTTGACTCTGTGTATTTCACCTGGCTCTTAATTTATTGCAATAAAGGCAGTGTGCACATGCGAAATTCTGCTTGTCACGCAGGCTGGGGGGAGGACGGGCAGAGCAGAGGTGGGGATTGCCCATTAATAGGATGGAGAAGGGCAAGAAACATCCCTAGGAGACTCCTAACGTTTCCTGCTCACAAGTGGGAGATGTGAATAACGCCAGCGAGTTTCCATCCGCCAGCCCCGTCCCGGCCAGGTGACATCACAGCGTAAAGCCCATCGCTAACTGCTGCAGCCGCTCCTCCTGCCTCTGTTTTTCCGTCACTGACCAGATTATCTGCACTCCACAGACCTGCTTTCTTGAAATATTTAATAACTCAGGGTTAACCTAGATGTCCAAGCTGTCCTCAGTGTCAGAGCTCGGAGCAAAGTTCCCCGGTCCAGACAAATTGAAAGTTACAGCGTCTCTTACCAGGCCAAATTGGGTTTGTTTCCCGAGTGTTGGCAGCACGTTCCCTGGGCTGGAGGTTTAACTCTTCCGAGCCCTCCGGAGGCGCTCGCCGCCTCTCCCCTGCCCTCCGCGAGGGGCGAAACCAGGGTCCTCGCTCCTCCAGGCACCTGTCAGCAGTGGGAACCCTCTCTGGGGTGGAGATCTTTGGGATCCTCCTGTGTGAAGGGTTTGGGGGTGTACCCTGTCCTCCAGGACAGCCCCGCGAGGGCAGAGGTGGGAGGCAGCGGGCAGGACAGAAACACCTGGCCCAGTGAAGGAACCCCCTTCTCCTCCTCCTCCCTTGGGGCTCAGCTCCTGCATCCCGCTGAGCTCTGGCAGGGGGGTGCCAGGATCTGGCCCCGGAGCTCCTCGCATCTCTCCAGGGCAGGAGCGTTTGGGGGAAGGCACGGCTCAGGGGTGCAAACAGTTTATGGGCTTGCCTTCCTCGCCGCCTGTCCTCTGCGATGGTCCGCAGTGCCAGTTCGTGCTTGCGAGCTGCGGCCACGCGTGTCCTCTCCAGAGCGTGACCGGGTCAAACCAGCCGGTGTCCTTCCCTGGGGATGAAACGTCCCGGCCGGTACGCGGCGTGCTCGAGCAGCCGGGACGGGGCGCGGGTTGCTTCCC